TGTGGTCTCTCCTGCAGAGATAATGGCATTAAACAATGAAAATTGGAAAATAAAATAAAAGTTCACACTGCAACAGGTTAGGCTGACATGAAAAAATTATTCTCAGGGAAATGTTTAATTTGACCTATTTGTTACAAAGAATGTGAAGTTTGGTGCTGTTTATTGCCCAATGAACATACACAGCACAGCTGTAAACAAAAAAATACATTTAGTCTCTAACATTTAAACAAACATTTCTATAAACATTTCTTGACTCGTTTTAAATTATTCAAATAAAATCACAACTAAAATTGTACTAAATCTAAAACATATGAAGTGTAAAAAAACCCTTTATTTTACTCCTTTAAAACATATTAGAATGAAAACACACATTAATATCAAAACCTTTTCTGAAGGTGTTGCTTAACTTTACAAACATTCTGTGAGACAAATTTTATTTCAGAAAAGTTACGTAGTCACTGCGGGCATCTTAAACCCATCTTGAGAGGGGAATTGCTATATTTTCATCTCAATTCATTTCATTTATATAGCGCCAAGTAGGGCTGCGCTGTATATGCGGTAGAAACGGTCTGAAGTTGGCCTACGGTAGAAATTTACCCTCTACCGTCCTATCATCATTGCGTCATCGCAACTGTGTCAACAGGGCTGCGAGTGCAGAGACAACTTGAGCAGGAGTTCGAAATATAATGAAGAAATTTTAGTGTTTTAAAACATGTATAGACAGAAAAATAATCCTCAAAATTTCCTCCTCCAATTTACGTCGTATCGTGGGATCATTTCTTCCCTCCCTCTCCTCTCCTCGCCTCTTGCTGCACGTCGCACAGAGAGAAGCTTTAACAACCACAGTTTTTCACACCCAAATGTCGGAGTAAAACTTGTTTTTTAAGTATTGTTACCCACAGAGATGATTATAAAAAAGACGTGAACGCTCCTTCAGTCATAAATCCATCTTGCTAATGTAAAGTCGGCTTCTGCTCTGATGATGAAGATGAGCGCGCAGCAGCTGATAAGTTCAGTTGGTGGAAGCTCATTGTTTGGCAGGCAGATATTAAAGCAAAAATGTTGGGTTTGATTAAGATTGGTTTTCTGCAAAAAAAAAAAAAAAAGCTCTAAAAATCTTATCTTTACTTTTTATGATAGTTTTCTTCTACGTGATATATATCGTTACAGTGAAGGGATTCAGTTTATACCGTGATATGAATTTGAGGTCATACCACCCAGCCCTAGCGCCAAGTCACAGCAAACATTGTCTAATGGCGCTGTACACAAAAACAATCAATCTAAGGAAGCAGCAGATTGTGTTGAGTCTTCAGTTCATCACAGATTCCCATCCTGAGCAGCACAATGTTTGACCTTGTGACACCTGTATTGGAATATGAAAGGTCATCAATGCCAATGAATTTTCATGGGACTTTTACATATAGACAGCAAAGCATACTCTAAATACTCTATACTCTAAATTTTGGTTTAGGAGTTCACTGCATTATAATATAAAAAATGTAAAGAAAAGCCACTGTGATTTATCTGGCCATTGAATGATTAAAAGTGTAGGGGAAGGCATTTTTTGCTRAAGTTGTTTAGCCCTTTATTTGAACAGTTGATGAAAGGGACACAACTGAAACTACCAGGATATGCAGTTGACCAATATGGACATAAACAAACTAACAACATGTTACACTTTTGCAGAATTGTCACCTTAACACAGCAGAGGGGTTTGAGTACACATGTTATCTCTGGGGCTATGTTGTCCGGGACATTAGCCCCCTGTTAGGGCAAACAGGCCTGCCTCTTTTTTCCCAAAAATAAATAAATAAATAACAAAACATAACAAAAAACTTTAACTCCTTCCCGAACAACAGTTCTTACGAATGCACATTGTACAAATTCATATTTCTTAAACAAATTTACTGAGCATTTTTATAATCACTTTCCAGATCATTCCACAGTACTTACAGAGGGGAACTCATAAATTAAGGTTTAACTTCTGTTTAAATCCTATAGCATTTTATGGTTATGTTAGCCTTTTATTTACTTATTGTTTGTATTGTAGCCTACTGCTAGTTTTGCTCAAAGCATCTATTCTAGCCTCACAGCGCTCTTTAGCATTCAGTCACTCATACAGTGAAAATATTATACTTTCACAAATTTAAACATCACCATTAAGTTTCTTCAAACGATAAATAAGCAGCAGCTTGAATGATAAATACACACACAGCTGCTAGAAGACACCAGTAAAGGTTTTTAATCATTCCAAGTCTGTTGAAGATCTCGACCCTCCAGTCAAAGTTTCAACGGAACATTCCTGTGATTCCTGAAGTTGGATGTGTCTAAATTTGCTCTAGCGCTCTTTTTCTGTTACAGTATTAACACTGACTCTCAGTAGAATCCATGCCAACTGTCCRATCACTGGGAGAGCTGCACATAATGTATGATAATGATATGTGTGACATCACGAGTGGAGGTCCTTATTATTGCCATGTTAGCAATTGGATTTAAGAAATTGACTTCTAAAAACAAGCAAAACAAAAAGTGCCACCCTAAAGACCCCCCGCATACTCTGRTTTACTTTACAACTGGGAGGTCCATGCAGACTTGAGGCGGACTCGATCTTGACTCGAAGCGGATGTCCGCTGCACATGTCTGCATAAAACGACTTTTTTACGTCAGTGTCCTTGGAGGCAAAGCTGAGAATCAGCATCATCTTGTGGACAAAAAAAAAAAGAGTCAAATTTCGAAGAGCATCTCACCGAGGTGATTATAAAACATGGAAACTATATGATACATCAGTGAGGAGATATAAGGACTTTTAGACAGCAAACATTATGTGGGAGGAACTAGCTCAGATGCTGGGAAAGATTCTTTTCTTTTGTATTTTTAAAGGGCCAATATTATGTGTTTCTCAGGCATATTTAAATACTATACCATAATAAAGTATCTGTCACCTTTAGTTGTCATTAAAAT